AAGATAGGAACGAGGTGCCTTTTTTGTCCTGCTCCGGCATAATGGAAAGGAAAGGAAATTTGGGTGCCATATATTAAGAATTTCGCCAAGTGAATTATTCTTGGCGCAAACTGAAAAAAATTGTGCCAAGATAAATTTTTGAATTTCTCCGTAAATTTCGCACCAAATTTTACAAAATTTAATATCTAGGTATAATTTGAGTCGTAAAATCGAAATTTGGAAAAACATTGGTATGTTATTTCAGAAAAAGTCCGATTTTGTGTCAAAATACCTTTGTTAGAACGATGCTATATATAAATCTAATATATATTTTAAATTGCGCTTTCGAGACATGAAAAACGCAATTTGAATTTTGTTAATCGGCCCAATAGAACGGAAGATATAGAACTTTTTTCCCCCGCATTCTACATAAATATATACACGCATTCATGAGCAGATACATCCATATATACATGCATTTCTGAATCCGACCCTGATAGCAGAAAACTACCCTGAAAATTGATCAATCAGCCTATTTACAGGCTCTTGGTTTTGAAACAATTTTCCATTGAAGATTTTGTGACTATCATGTTAGAGTTTGAAGTAAAATAAAAGCTTCCCCTTTAGTGAGTTTGTGGCAAATATATTCCCGCAGAAAGTTTACCCTAGTTCCTTTCTTATAGGAAAATCCAAAACATATATATTTTAAAACTGAATTAAGATAGAAAATATCGCGATTTGTCCATAAAAGAAACTGGAATTTGGAAAATAACAAACAGAACATACGAAACATGTGAAAATGATGACACTGGCGAAAATAACGAATACGAATACGAAAATGGCGACATTGCTTGTTAAAGCTTGTGAAATTTTATGCACATAGTTGCTAGGGATTGCCGCATTCTGAAAATTGTTGCAGCTTCTAGAAGGCAGAACCTAGATGCCAGAAAATGCCTTAAAAAAGGGTCTTCCACAAAGGCTTCCCTCTCCTTAAGAAGTTATCCCTGGCGTTCTTTCACTTAATCCAAATAATCCAATCTTCGACGTTCCTTTGTTTTGTTTCTAAATTTTCCTTTTGTTTTAAATTGACAATTTTTCGTGTTATGTCCAGATTTCTTGGTTCTGTAACATAAAAAGTTTGATTTTGGCTTGACTTCATTGTATGAGCTTAGAGTGAATGCACTGCTGCTAAGATTTGGCGACGACTTAGGCATTTCCGTTGGTATTTTAGCAATTCTACATAAACGCTGGTAACAATGTTTTGACAATGATCTAAGTTTTTACTGGATCATAAGAAATTTGCTTGATTTTCAATATTTATATTGTGAAATCGTTTCCATCAAAGCGGTATAGTACTTCAGGTGGCAGTTTATGAATGAGTTGAAAACACATTCATAAACTGCCACCTGCCAGTACTTCTGGAATATCAAATCCACTTTCTTTAATCAACTACATCTTTTACTGAACTTTCTTGCAAAATATGGCAATTGTTTCTTTATTAGCACTAAATTGAAGATCATAAAACTTGTCTATTAGGCTAGCTAGCCGAACTGTGGACAGTGGCTCAAAAACTGTTTATAATATTTCCCACGCTTATTCATCATCAGTATTACCGCCGTGAATATATAATTCTGGAACTGAACGCTCGAAGCATTATCATATTTTATATAGGTACGTGTTTCCCTTCTTTAGACAATCGTTTTTAGATTTATGGTGCGTCGATTGAGCACGATGTGGCATCACTTTGTTTGCGTTCCCAATTTTCTCTATTTATCAGTAATATTGTAATGTCAACTTTCCATGTAACGTAACCCACTAGCGACCAAGCAATACAGCTGTTTGACCCGGGTCCAAATTCCACCGAATGGACCGGCGACATGGTAAGTTTCGTTTCCATGTGTAATGTGATTTCAAGCCAGTTTCGATTCAAAAGTCCTTCACAATGACATCCCTCCTCTTAAGCAGATCACCCTTCGAGTGCTTTGCCATAATCTAAATCAGTAGTCTCAAACTCTCCGAACGCGGGATATGCTGCCGCGGATACATTTCAATATGCATTTATTGCAAATACGGTGCTTATAACGTGCGCTACTTCTGTTGAAGAAAAATAATATAATGTATATGTTGGGGCTTTATCTTAATCTATGTATGCTTGTACCCCAGATCACAAAGACCATATACAGTAAGAAAAATTACCTCATTAGTGCATTAAATTTTGCTTACAAGCCGACAGTTTGTAGCGTTTCATCATTCTGATGTTTTCGGTTTAGGTTAAAAATGAGTTAGTTAGTTGATTAATTCAACATATTAGAATTACCTGAAAGAAAATCTTAGTCTAAAATTTAATATTTAGCTGTAAATACATTTGAATTATAAAGTATAAGCAAAAGACATTTCTTGCAATTATCAGTCTTTAAACTTCAGATAGAAAATAAAGGCAAATTTGAATTTATTATTTTGCGTTATTATTATTGTTTTTTATGTAGGTTTTGATAAATATTCAGAAACTAAAATTTCAAATTTAATTTAAATTTATTTATTTATTTGTTGTTTAATATGCTTTTAATTTTTTTTTAAATGTTCTGGCCTCTCAGCGGTTTTCAGATCGTGCATTCGGCCAGCCCTTAAGACCACTGATTTGACACTTCAGAAGCCCAAGTGGTATGATTTGTTGCACTTAACTTCGAGAAAGTCACATGCAAATCTTTGAAAACGTGTTGAAAATTCCCAGCTATTCCAGAATTAAAGGTTAGGCACAATCAATAACCCGTAAATTCATTGCGAGAATTGTTGACATAGACAAAACCTGCCGCATACAATATTCAAATTTAAAACTAACAGCTTAAATTTTTACTGCCAAAGATTTTCGATGCAGGTGCAGGTAAAGTGGGTGGTGAAACAGCAGAATGATAAAACACCAGAATTTCACCATTAATTAATTGTACAGCTGCGACACAGTTTCGAAGAAGAGCACCCCTAAAATGGTCCGCGGGTCTCACGCCCCGTTTTCCATATCACTAAACCACAAGAGTGAACTTTCAGCTCGCCAGTATTTTGAATGCCCCCATGCCGCACAGACACCATACGCTAATAGTTCTTAACATTTTTAGCTCCATGCACCCCTTTCATCTAGAATATCATTCACACTCTCTTTTCCAAAAGCCGAAAACTACATATATAAATTCGTTTAAGTTTAAATTATTTTCAAACTAGTTTCATAAATTTAGTCACAAGCAGTATAGAAAATTTTGATAAATGCGAAACCTAGAATAAAAGCAGTACTTTCTATTCATTAACTAAAACTAAACACTTAACATATAATTATAAGGCTCACTGGATTCCTTTCCCCTGAAGCTATTAAATTCCCCCTAGGGAGGAATTCCTCTGCCCCACGATCTGAGTCTCTGCTATACTCTTACAAAACAATCATGCCTTTTCCGGGATTCGAACCCGCACCTATCGGTATGGCAGTCAGCTTCGTTAACCGATCAGGGCGACAGATATCTTGAGGCAGTCAGATATCCAGTCATCCAGTTCAAGTATACGAATACGGTTATTACAAACATAATCGACAGACAATATAAATAACAATATAAGTAAAAGTCTGGACGTAGGAATTCCCTCTGGAGAGACTAGGATCGAAGAGGGACATCCAGGTATTTGAAAGTTGGTTGGTTAATTTGGTTTATGGCAAAGTGCTCGAAGGCTATATACCTAAGGAAGGGATGCATTCATGAAAGACATTTTAAGGGAAACTGGCTCATATCCACGTTATACAAAACCACAAAAACGCCCCTGCAGTCAGCCCGTTCGTTTAGAATGAAACCCAAGTCGATCTACCAGTGTTCAATTACTTTACCGCTCGGCCGCTAGTGGGCATTACCGAAAAGGAAGTTTTTCTATTCAACGAGATATAGCACCTGTCAAGAAGAGCGTTTCTGAACTCTGTACAACGCCAGTAAGAATGCAGTCCAACACCTTGAAGTGTCTGCAATTAAAGTTTTAAAAAATATTAAGTATTAAAAATAATATGAAAGGTCATATGATTGAGAAAAAGTCTTATCGTAGACAGATTTCAGCTTACCTGAAAAAATTTTAAGCTAAGCAGTTATGACAGCTCTAATAATTTTTGAATTAGTCTTTGAATTTGTAGAACAATTAGTCTTTAAAAAATTGTAAGACGTAGACCATAAAATTACATGTCTAAACTAAACTGTTCAAAGTGACAAAACAAAACAATAAATAAGTAAATAAATTGCTATGATATTAATTTATCTTAACTTACCACCACATGCAGATATGAGCACTATTTAAAAAAGGTACCTAATTGTTCAAAATGGCAACATTATTAATTATGCTTTACTCAATCATTAATTATTTTTTACTTAATTTTCTAAGACATAGATGCGACTTTATTTCACGTAAATGATTCAGTGAAAAATCCTTTTTGCAATCATAAGAGCAATGTTTTCTGTTTAGCTAGAACACGAAATCCGCGAACTGGAAGCAATAAACACCTCAATGAGAAGCTTTTACAAGATGTTTTTTTGTTCTTTCTTTTCTTAAAAAACTTTTTTCCGAAAAATAAGAATATTTGTCTATTTCTGATTTTAAAAAGAATCGTCTTGCATGTAAATTCTTGAATTTATTTTCTAAATTTAAGACTTTTTAAATTAAAAGGAAATCTGAAATCTTGCACTTTACTGCTCACATTTACCCACTTTCTTGCAGAAGAAATTCACGTCAACAGGAAGAAAAAAAAAATAAACTAACATTTTCTTCTGATATCAGTTCTTAAGAAGAAAAATAAATAAATAAAAGAAAAAGTGATAAATAATTCATGCCCCAAACAAGTATTAAAAGCACATTGCACGTGACAAAGAAAGAAAGTCCTTCTAAAAATTCAACATATTTCGCGCGGAAAACCACTTTTTAGTTGCTTCGAAGCGTTTCTATGACGTCATGAATGAATGATCGTACGGTCTGAACGAATTTTGGCGATATGCCAAAACGCTTCACCTGCGTGAAAGAGAGGTGGAGAAATCCCTTTTGACCGTCACTATTCAGAAGCAGAGTATTTCTTGACGAGCCTAGTGGCTGAGTTTCTTGGCTTGCAGTGGTGTAATACCTGTGATAACTAAGTTTCATTTGCTGGAATTTTATACCGGTTAAACCAGAAGCCTTTACAATTCATTTAAAAAACAGATGTTTCGATGATCGCTATTCTCTGAGAGATGCATGTGCTCTTAAAGATCTGCTAGAACAATTTTCCTTTACAGATGATCAATAAGCATATAGTGGGGAATTTGCTGAAAATCGTGATAAATTTAAACGGTTTTTCAAAAGCGAGTTTAATATGCTGATTACCTCTTTTGTTGCTTCTGTGTATCATTCTGAAGTTAAAAGTGCATACTAGGAACAGAAATAAATTCCCTTTGTGTTGCATATTTCCTAACCACGTTAAAAATTATCCATTTAAATTAATTGTTGAAGCCTGACTATTGCGGACATTACTTGCTATGAGAAACGTTAAGTACATTTTATTCCATTTCCGAAGATGATGGAAGAAGTATTTGAACCTTCACCATGTAATGAGGAAGAACAAGCTCATCATCCTTTGCTACAAAGCACATCCAGCATTAATTACGATCCTCCTCAATCTTCAGAGCTGAAACTTTACAGAATGAGGCCGAGAATACCTAAAAATATAAGCAAATGCCGTATCATCAAGAACTTAACTGTTATGAGTTTTTCCCTGTTCATTTTCTTTCTGGGATTTCAGGCACTTGCGAATTTACAGAGTACTATGAATTCAGCGAAAGGTTTAGGCATGGATTCTCAAGCTGCTATCTACGCTTCGTCCATGATATCTGCTCTTCTGCTACCAGATCTGATGATTAAGCGTTTCGGATGCAAAAGGACTCTCGTTTCCATGATCATCTGCAGCATTCCTTTTATTGCTGCTAACTTTTATCCAACTTGGGAGACTCTCATGCCAAGTTCTGTTCTGATCGGTTTTGCTGCTGGTCCTCTTAGCACATCTCAAGCTCTCTATATAAATGAAATGTCTTTGCATTATCATAAACAGTCTTTATCCGCAAGTTTGGAATCTGTGATGGCCAGATTCTATGGGACATTTTATTTCTTTTCTGAAAATACTCAAATATGGGGGAATTTGATATCTTACTATGTTCTCCGCCCTGGGATGGTACCGATTCGGAACCATAGCATAATACCATGTGGCATAGATTTCCATAAATATGGTTCAGGAAACAATACTAATCCGAACCTTCAACCTCCAACAGAAGAAAAAAGGTTCCTGTTGGTCGGCATATACGTGGCTTGTGGACTTCTTTCTTGCCTTCTTTTAGGATATTTTGTGGACCCGTTAGATAACGATAAAGATACTGATGAAACAAGCAACAAATGCGAGTATGTAATTGACCGATTACTTTCTGCTGTTAAACAGACAACAGTGCCAGACCAAATGCTCTTGTTGCCTTTGACTGTATTTTGCGGCATGCAAACAGCATTTTATACCAGTGATTTTACCCAGGTATGTGCATTTTGTTATTTAAAATTTTTAGTTAGAAAATATGAGAACTAAATAAAGCTCCAATTACCGAATTTTTATAAAAGAATTATAACCATTACTATATAACATAGTAAACTATATGCGGTTATTTAAAAAAATAGCCGTTTAAATTAGATATATGTTTGCTATATGGTCTTGCTTTGTATTTCTAGGTATGCATAGTTCATCGCGTTTAAAACTGCACCCTCTAAGTCGAAACAAAAAGTTTTTTCTAAGATGGACTGTTCTCATTTTGCCGAAAAGTTAAAAATTAAAAAATTAATTTTACATGGCTTTAAGGAGCTATTTTTAAATTAATTTTCTGATCTATATTTTTTGTTTCAGAAATTAAATCAAAATAAAATTTGGATTGTAAGTGTTCATGTTAAAAATTTTAGCTCTACTACTAAATTTTAGCGGAAATTTAGAGTTACTACAGATTTAGTAAAATCCTAGTATACGGTGCAGCCTTGGCGCGATTTTGAAAATTATCGCCAACACCAAACATGATCCAAAGAACGTCTAGGTTTAATCCTAGTATCCGGTGCACACAAGATTTGGCTACTTTTGGCGACTTTTTTGATGAGCAGTAAAACGGGACATATACGTCCCGTTTTACTGGCTCATCATAAAGTCGCCAAAAGTAGCCAAATTCCGTGTGCACCGGATACTAGGATTAAACCCAGATTTATGCTTTTTAAATCAATGACTTGAAATAAATTATTGAAAAGTTAATATAAATATATATTGAAATGTTCAGAATTTTATGTATTATTTTAGAGAGAAAGAATCATGAAAATTACTTATTCAGGGCGATTAATATTTGAGTTCAAGGTTTTTGTCTTATTTGCCTTAAGGCAATGCTTAATATTAATTAATGAAACTAATAACTTTACATTTAGAGACTACTGTGCTCTCAAGAGCCAGAATTATGAAAAATGATTTGTGAACTCAAACACGGACCTTCTTGTTACCAGCTGGATGAACCAACCGCTTGTACCACCAAGCTTGTAAGAGGAAATGCGATAACTCCTTACATTCTCCCCCACGTAACACGCTACGAGAATAATCGCAGTTGGCAAACTTCATTTACTTGTCAGCTACGGGATAACTCGTATTGATCACATTACCTAACGACTGATTACGAGCATTGTTGTAGTAAATGCATGCAATGCTTTGGTGTTTTACATACAGGAAGGGTCTAATTAATACACTTGGCTTACTGCAATAGATCATTTATTTCTCAGAACTATAATTAAATGTTTAGAGGACAAAATCTTTTTTTTTATTCTTTACTTGGGAAATGTTATAAGCCAGTTGCTCAAATTCTTGTTTGACAACTCTTGTAATACTAATGGAAAATAACATATCGTACTTGAGGAGTTTTAGAAAGGAGCACATGAGGAGTGTATTGCTTATCTAGTTATTAAATTTTTCCGAGTTATCTCAAAGTTGCCGCTGAGAGCAAAAATGTTAGTTCATATACCAACTAAGAATGTACTCATGTGAATTCAGCAAAAGAAATCTGTTAAGTTAATAAATAATAAAACAAGACAAAATGACAAGTTCCTTTGCGTATAGGAACGGATGCACTTAATCAACTTTGACAACGAATGTGTTAATAAAGGACGACTGAGAATAGGTGCGAAATCCATCAGAACAAATCTAAATGATGAATTATCATCCAAATCATAGTTTGCATTCCACTGTAGAGAGACTATTAGGCTTTTTGGAGAGAGAAATGTAAAAAATCATTTGCATCTTTGCCGAGACTCAAACCCCAGATTTTCCAGCATCTACCTGTATGTACTAATCACTTACATCACAAGGAATTACTGAAAATTTAACAATTCCTTACAATCTTATCTGTTTACATATATCAAAGAAAATTTCACTTAACAAAATATCATATTGGAATAATTTTTTCCACAGTGGTCACGGGAAAAGAAAAATATGTGATGTAAAATAAAGAAATCTGGTCACTTCAGCCATTATCTAAAAACATAAGTCTGTCTGTTGGAAATCTGGCGCATGTTATTGACCAAAACCTTATTATACCCACATTTTTTTCAACAAATTTAACCGATATCCGCTTTTCGAAACTGAATTAAATCTAGTTCAAGTCGAATATTTATGATAATAATTGTTTTATTATAAGTTCATGAACTTATAATTCCACTGTATGTTTTGCCCTGTTTATTGGCCGCAAAGAAGCTTTTAATTGGCCGCAAAGAAGCTTTTAATCTTTGTTGCGCATTTCACTGTCACTGCTTTCAGCACGCGGAATAGCAAATAGAATAGGATTACTGGAGTAAATAAGCATATCAGATAGACGATGACCTGAAGTCATTTCGAACTAAAATTTGTTTATTACTTCCTTGTAAGAAGTAAAGAAGGATTCTAACCGCGAACATTTTAGGCTATCATATTTCAACGAAAATATTCATCCATTTTGACCTCTCTTGAATCCATTTGAACAATGTTTTTGCGTGACATCTGTACGTGTATGGACAGAAAAAAGGACTTTTTTTCCCAAAACGAATTGTAAAATAGATTCAAAATGGAATCAGTAGAGATTTTTTTCGTGACGGCCGGGAGTTCGTGTGGTGTACCTCGTATAACTCAGAAACGAGTCGTCCTAGAACGTTGAAATTTTGTATATGGGACTGCTATAACATGTGGTTGTGTACCTCCATTTTTGGTTGCAATCATCGGCCGTATGGTGGGTTGTGTATCTATATATATGTATATTAATAAATATGTATAACGTAAAAGCAAATTCAAGTAAAATCTGTGCAAAAAAAATAAAGATTTTAATTTGCGAACTAATCTACAATATCATTTAAATTCATATCATAAGTAATCAGTGCAAAAATACATTAGAAATTCACCATTAGCAATGGAATTATCTATTTTTTTTTTTTAATGCATAGTGAATGCCGGTTGAGCAGCAGGAGACAGACTATCAAGGGAATTGCCTCAAACCTACCTCTTCAATCATCATCGGTTTCGCATTCGTGCAGCAGGTAAAGTCAAACCAAAGTATAAGAATGTCCAAAGAAATCCACTAAGGGGTAATTACAATTAAAATTAAAATTGACGTCTAAGGAAATACAATAATGAGTATTTTGAAATAAGCATGTGAAGCTTAGTATTAAATAACTTTTAAAATTAATTTTCCAGAAAATTACTTTGAAACAAGCTGTTAGAAACCCTTGTTAGACCTCCCGCACGAATATGCATATTATCAAAAAGAACTAAAGGACTAGACAATAATATAAACCAAAAAAACTAAAATTAAGTCATATTTATAAAAAACAATATATACTTAAAAAATAATTAATTAATTACATATCTAGAAATACGTATATACTACATAAAATACTTAAAGCAAGTAAATAGTAAGTTTAATTCTAACTCCGCCATATAACGTTGGGTCTGCAAAAGTTTCCTAGGATGTAAGGTGTTCGCTATTGTATGCTATGTAATTAAAGTTAGTCCAGTTTTCTCTTTAATTAATTATTTAATATTATAAATCTAGAAAAAATTAAGAATACCAAAGTTGTAATTTAAGTTTAATTTTAACTGACCTATTATTATGGAGGGAGTTTAGTAGCCATCAAGTGGTATTGTGATTACTCAATTAAACCTGTTTGATGCTAAATGTGTGTCTGTTGCAAAATTGTGTAAATATGCAGATAATAACGTTAAGTGAAAAAATTATTTTTGTGAAAATTCAATTCAAAAGAAATTCAGTAAAACTAAAATGTTTTAAATTTTAAAATGTTTAAGTAAATTAAATTAAAATTTAAATTTCAAAGTCTTAAAAAAAAAAAATTTAAATGTTGAAAAGAATCCTAATTTTTTTTTTTTAATTTAAAAAGAAAAGTAGTACAAAAGAAAATTACCAGAAATTTCCTAATTAAATTTTTTAAAATTTTATTAAAAGCTAATTAAAAAAGAAAATATTGAAAGTTTAATTACTTGATTCAACTGTATATCAAACTTGGCTAATACTGCTAAAGTATCGAAAGTGAAGAAGATTACAATCTTCACTCATTCGGCTAATTTGAGCTTTGAAAAGTTGGCCTTTAGTAAAAGAAAATCTTATGATTAAATATACATATTTACAAATTTCTGTGAGCTCATTTTTTTTATTCTTAATAATGTATTTTTTGCTTTTTTTGCTTTAAAAGAGATTGAATTATATTCCGGTTAAGGTTTCTATGCCTTTAGTTAATCTTTATGGAATAGTTGTAGAATTATCAACTATTTAAAAAGTTGTTTAAGTGAGCTAACGAAGGCTCCATTTGTTTACATTTGGAACTCTTTGTAGAACAGTGAATTAAGTCAGTTTGGGCTACAACTTTAATCTCATTTTGCCGAGTGGGATCAATTGTAAACTTTTCAGTTTTGTGTTCCGAAAACGCTGTCTTCCTGCCCGCTGGCCGAATTGCTTGTTTTTGCATAAGCACTCCAATTTTAAATGTAAAAACATTTTTAACTGTGGTCGGTATTTTATGTACTTTACAATTTTTAATAAAGATGTTTTGTGTTTTTATGTATTTTTTTCTTGCCGCGAAGTGCAAAATGAATTAATTGAATGAGAAGTATATCTCTACTGAAATTCAAGGGAAAAAGTGTAAATGATAATAATATATATATATATGTATTAAGAGCGTCTGTTCAAGAACACCGCTTTCGGGATGAAATTTATTCTAGGATAACTAGAAGTTATCCTAGAATAAATTCTTGTAGTCTAATTCAATGGAATAAACTGACTTGGTGCGTTATCGAATATTGGACACACAAGTTTAGACGCTTTCTAGCCATTTGCGACAATCTTTACTGCCTTTCAAGTGGAACCAAACCAAAGACCTTACGATTTCTTAATGTTTTTGATCCGCCTCTTTACTAATAAAGCAGATTTTCGATTACCTAAAAATCGATGATCCAGAAGATTGTTTATCTGAATTCTTTAA